ATTAGTCAGTGGTCCACCCCCTGGCAGCAACAGAATACACTGATCCCTGCAATGGTTGAACGCACCTTCCAATGCAAGACTGGGACTATGCTTATCTCTCCAGACATCTCATCACTGGACTTGGACTCCAAGGGGCCAAATTTCAGGGAGTCTTTTTCTATGAGAAGCTAACAACAGTTAGTCATAGTTTCCCAGTTCTGTTGAACTCTTCAAGGACAAATGGCAGATCTGGATAGAGCCAGAAAGTTCCCAAGAATTTAATCAAGGGCAGCGAAGCATGAGTCTTTCCCTAGGGGTAGTCACCTGAGAGAACTTTGGTTGTTCTAACTGCAAAGACAGTATTAACCTGTTGCTTTCAATTGGGTTGTGTTGCATATTTAAATCCGCCCTCTGGGGACATGGTGGCAAGCTGATATACCTTGGTAGACACGGTTCCTGAATCCAAGCCAAGAAACATTGGTGTTTGTGCAATTGGAAGAGAGGGAGGGCCAAGGACATTGGGAAATTCTAAAAGAATGGAAATTGTAAGCTTGTATTTCACAACTTATTCAAAAAAGAATCTTGTTTTAGAAGCATAGGTGGGTGACATGCATCTAATTAGAATGCAAAGTTTATAAGGCTTGATAGCTACAGGACATAGCATGGGGTAGATACATACGCCCTGATACAGACTATTGTCTGTCTACTGGGGAATGAATTTAAGAAAATAACAATCTTCTATGAGTGAGGAATTTATTGATCCAAAACAATGCTGGGTGACTTCAAGTTTATATTTTTCCTGGGACTTTGAGCAAGTCATGCCCTCCTCTAGGCCTCAGTTTCTCCATTTGTACAATGGATGAGCTGTACTTGATGAACCCTTAGAATGATTACTTAAAATTAGTTTCAGTGCTCTGTTTTTTTAATGTGAGGATATAAGGTTGAGTTTTATATTAGCAGCCAAAATCCTTAGTAAGAGTGTTCAAGAAGCAACTACTTGGGGTAGAGCATCTTTGGATTCCTAGTAGTCTTGAAGTTGTCCATTGTTTGCATTATTCTTGGTTTCTTTCTGCTATTCCTCAATCAGAACCAGGGAGTTCCATGGGTTTGGGCATCACTCCCTTTCTTTTCTCATGGATTCTGACAAGACAATGGCCAGGACAGCCTCATTCATTCTCTGAAAATCATTCATAACACACTCAGCAAGGATGGCTTAGGGGCCGAGAGCATACTCCAGTGAGCCCTTTGACCTTAAGGTTATTTTTTGTTTATGGTTGACTTTTCTAGGCATTTCCCTCCTCTATACCTCCATTCTAATTTTTCCTTCATCCTTTTTCTTTTTATGAAGATTTTTGTTTTTATTCTCTTTTGTTTTTCCAATTTCCACACACTCTCTGCTTGTTCAGGAAGATTTATGAACTACATGATCAAGCCAACCATTTTTTTGCTACCTAGAGCAGGGCTGATATTATTTATGAATCATATATATTCCAGGAGACAGAGCAGCCCGGGAAGGCCCAGGGCCTTGTCTCTTCACTTTTGGCTTTACGCCAAGTTATCACAGCTCTTTTCTTTTCTCAACCTGTCAAATCGGAATGATCTTAGTGACCCTGAGATGTATGTAGAAGGTAACTTTGGGCTTTCCCTCAACCCCCTTCTCAAGCTGACCATCACCTCCACTCTGAAAATGCCCTTCTGACGTGAGGGAAAGAGAAGGTGGTAAAAAGAAGTCTTTAAAACTAACTACTGTAGTCAACTATCCCCAATTAATTAATGGTCAAATTTTGCTTTCTGTGCCAATAAGTTCATGAGTAGTGACTTGAACTAGCATGAAAATGCATATTCTGGCATATTCTTCTTCTTGGACCTTAAAACAAGTAAGCTGGAATCACTCTGAGTCCCTGTCAGAACCCCAGGACTTACTTCAGCTCTAGGGAGAAAAGTCTTAGGATTGCCTTAAAGTGGTGAGCCTGAAGTAAGTAGGTCAGACATTAAACCCAAAAGTGCTGATTTTTCCACATATTCTGGACTGTGTGAGCTCACTTAATATTTTAAGGCCTCTTTTTTTCCACCTACCAAGTGGAAGGAGGAAGAATGTATGGAGGACACTGGAGTCAGACAGAGGCGGGTCTGAGTCCCAGCTTGCCACTTTCTGCCTGTGTGACTTGGCTCAGCGTCCGCAGCCCAGAGCTCCAGCAGTATGCCTCAGGGGTGTCATGTGTACCAAAACTATGGTGCCCTTGGCCTCATCTAAGGCCTAGGCACTCAGAGGTAAAAGAGAACGCCAGCTCACTCTACTAGAAATACTCTCCTCAGGTATGCATGCTTTTCAAAGGTGCAGAAAAGCATGCAGCCTATGGGGGCTTTGTTTCTGAGGAGAAAGCAGCTGAAAAACCCGTCCCCTGCCCCACACAGTCCCCGACTCCCCATAACGTCTGAGGGCCATTAACTCATCTCCTTATGGCCAAGAGGCCATGGTGGGTGTTGGGGGGTGGGGGAGGAAGGGTAAATGTAAAGAAAATGCTCTTCTCCATTCAAAGTTTATTCATCACTTGGACTTTGGAGAAGTCCCCTGAATGAGGTCAATCAACTTGCAGGTTCCTATTTCAAAGCCACACTTCATCCTAGCGGCCAGTCTGCCACTAGATCGTCTGTGTTCTACCTTTTAGCAATCTCCCGACTGGCTTCACCGGCAATGGTCTTACCCACCCTATTCCACCATCATACTTTGCAGACAGAGCAACCTTTTTAAAATGTAAATACGATCTTACATGGTTTCCCACCACCTTCAAGACACTGCTCAGGCTGCTTAGCATCACACACAAGGTCCTTGACCAGGTGGTCTCACTCCGTAGCTTCTCTTGTCTCATCTTTTCTCACCCCTCCCCATACCAGCCACCCCCAACCACACCAGCTCAGCATTCCCTGTATATGCCACTCTCCCTCATGTCTTTGTATTTTTGTAAATGCCATTTCCTTGTTTTGAAATGCCCTAACTCCTGCCCCCACCAAGCCCCATCCTGCCTACCCAGGGAGTTTAAGACCATGAGGTCTTCTGTAGGTAAAGTAGGATGTCCTTCCTGTGCATGCAGTGATTATATCATGGCTCCATTGCCATGTAACTGTTCCTATTCATCACGGTATTTATCCTGTTGGAGTGTCAGAGCCTGTTTGCATGTACATACCCCCCCCCAAACTGTAAGTGCCACGAGAACAGGGACTATTTTGTAATTGTTCAGGACCTAGCACAGTGCCCAAAACATAGCAGGTGCTCATATGAGCTTGTTGAAAGGCAAATGAGGAAAAAGCCGGTACACACACACACACACACACACACACACACGCGCGTGCGCGCGCGCGCTCGCCGAGGGTGCCAAAAAAAGTGTATACACATATTAAGAGACGTTATCTTAAAACATGTATACATTTTTTGGCAACCTCTGTGTGTGTATATATACACATAACATTAATGAGAAGGCAAATAATAAAGAGAAGAAAGACAACAGTCATCATTAACATCTTAAATGACAGAACCAGGAGGAGTAAGATTTGAGTCAAACTTGGGGATCAAACTGCTGAGACATATAAGCAATCCAGTGAGAACTCTGAGAAGGAGTTAGGAAGCCTTCAATCCACAGAGGCCGTGGACAGGAAAATAGGCAAAGCATGGGAGTCAAAGTGGAATCCTAGAGAAACCACTGGCCTGTGAAAAGGTCCAGGGTAGACTGATTTATAACCTAGCACAAAAAAATGAATTGCTGAGAAAAGGAAAGGGACACACATGAGAAATTCCAAGTCTCAGCTCTGCAGAGCAAAGCATACTTGGCAATTACAGCATATTACATATTTTTTAAAAAATCATAGAAAACCAAAAGCCACCACCAGCACCAAAGCTCCAAGAACCATTCACAAGTGATCCACACGGTGCTTCTTTGCAAGTTCAGCCCTGCACCAAAACTGACTTGCTATGTATCCTTACACAGAAGAAAATCCAACTTCACACCTTTAAATATTGAATTAGAAAAAGCTCTGCTGATGGCTCATACCTTCCCAGATCCCCCTACCCCCATCATTCTTGGGAAAACAGAGTTGACTTAATGAGGCCACATTTTCACAGAACAAGGTCGTGTAAGACAACCCAAGCCAGGCTCCTGACTAACGGGAAACTGCCGCTGGATTGGGTTAAGTCCTTGTCGACTATGGCCTCCTGACCACAGTCACTATGTTTTGCTCCATTTTATATGCCCCACTAAAGGAAAAATAAGCCCACACTTTCCCTTACGCTTGCCAATTGCAATAGACAAATTTCTTCTGAGTGACTACACAGACTCTACTAGACAGAGACGTTTGGAGAAGGGAGCTCAATAGCTGCTCATTCTTGTGCTCATACAAAGCAGAGCATAGAAGACGAGTGGCCTTCACTGCCACAGAGCACTGGTCACAGCAATATTTAGGGAGCTGAACAGATGTTGAGAAACCCAAACGCGGTCACTCAGAATCACTCAACATCTCAAAAAATGAAGAAAAGGCATTTTGATGAATGTAAATGAAATGTCTTACTAACACCTTTCACCCAGATCAGCCTTAAGCCTTTTGCAAACTAGCCCTCACTAGCACCTTTACCCTCTACCTTAATGATGGAAAAAGCCTAAGAGAGCTTCCACTATTATGCAAGATCTTGCAGCAACTGAAGATGCCCTCAGAGACCGAAGGTCTACCTACACACATGTCTACTACCAAGGAAAGAGCCATGGTAACCACAGGGTTTAAATGCCCTCCCGCTCAAGGCTGCAACATGGCCGAGAGAGGGCTAGATGAAGCTCACCTTGGGTAATCCACATGTGACCAGAAGATCAAGAGCATCAAGTGAGTGAGTGGTTTTAAACCACACTTTTATCCCCTAGGGAGTGAGTGATGGACGCTCTGTTTAGATTTGAGGTGGAGAAATGAGGGCTAAATTTCCACCAGAATTAACTCCTTTTTTTCGATCCACGGGGCAACGCGGCATTTCTCATCCTTACCTCATGGGTTGCCAGAGTGAATCTCGAGACAAAAACTCGATTTTGTAGTCTTCTCAAAAGCAGCAGGATCCTTGATGTGAGCGAGTCCTTGCACCTTTGCTCCAAGAGATTGGGTGTCCCCAGAGGGTGCCTGAGGTCCTGTTGGTTTTTATGAGTCTGTGGGTCAGCTCAGACTGGCTGCCCCCTCATCTGTATGCAACAGCTCTCAAAGAACACAGTTTACTTTAGAACCGGATCCAACAAGAGTAGGCGTGGTAGTAAAATGGGCTAGATACACCAGAGGTGTTGAGCTGCCAGGGCTAATTAAGAAAGATTTGTTTATGGAGCTGTGGCTTGGAACCAGAAGGCCAGTTTGCTGGGGCCCACAACGTGTAAGTCAAATGGGTGAGGCTGAGCACATGTGAATCTAGGCAAGATGCTTCCAGGTGGGGATATCGGGGGGCCCTAAGGAGCCCCTCCAAAGTTTCTCCTGCTCAGTGACTCACTCAATAGCCATGGAAGGCTAGGCAGACCTGACTGTCCCTTGGCCATTCATCTGTCTCCCTGGTCTCAGCACAGTGTAGCAGAGACTTTACGGCAAAGCAGACTGGGAGGAAGTCCCTGCTCCACCAACCCTGACCCCAGGGGCAAGTTCTCAGCTTCTCGTCCTCGGAGGTCCGTGGTGGGGGGTGAGATAATGTATGTAATGCATGTGGCACACACTTGGCATTGAATAAACATGAAAATCAACATACCGCAAGTATCAGCTTTCTTTCCTTCTTCCTGCCCCAGTCCCCTGGTGCTATCTCCCTCTCATTTATACTGAGGGAGAAGAGGCCTTAGCTCACACCCTCCTGAGTTGCCCCCTTTCCATTGTCTTTCCTTGTGATGTGTCCTTCCTGGATCATCACTGGATACCACCAGAGCATCAGAAAACAGTCTCCTTAATAAGCTGTCCCTCTGTTTTCATGGAGTAGTGGAGGTAATGTGAACAGGCCACGCATCCCTTCACTGTCTGTTCCCTTCTCCACTGAACATAACCCAAGACAATATGGGGTATCAGCAGGAGAAGCTATGGAGTCTCACTGGAGTTCAGAGGTTGTAGGCCAGTGATTCCGACCCCACTCAAGTACACGGGAGAATTAATGCATCATGATTTTCATAGAGGGGATAAAATGGAAACAAATGCATAATTATGTGGGAAATGGAAATTTTGTTTTCACACGCTTATAAGTATATTCCGTTGTTACAGTAAAGGAAAAATAATTGTGGAGTTGTAAGTAAAACAGCTTATAGTAGCATTTTCCGTATGAAGTTTGATTTAAGAGACCTCTTCTTGGGAGCAGCAGAACTACGAGGGAAAAAGAACATGAGGGACAATTCAAAGCTTGTGCTAAACACGACTTCCCCTTCACAGAGGGTTTCCCTGTGAGCACAGCAGTTCCCACCCTAGCTCCCCTGTCCCTAGGCTCACCCTTCTCTCCCAAAATACCTCCTTTCCCCATGCTCCACTGTGTGGTCCTCTACCTACCTTTCCAGGTAGCCCAACCCCACCTCTCAGGATAGCCTCCCAACCTCAGGTTTGTCCCTTTCCACCTCTGAGCAGAGCGTGTCCCCAAGTCAGGTGTGGTGCCATGGGCATGCGCCCTGCCGACCTGTACATGTGGGCAGAGTGAGTGTCCAGGGCTCTGGCTACTCCTCTCTGAAGTGGCTGAGCACGCACCAGCACAGGGAGACCATTTCTGGGGACGGGGTGTGCTCCTCTGAGTGTGACGTTGGCTGGAGAACTCTGCATGGCTATGTGAAACGTTCCTTAAACTCCAGAGCAGGCTATGTCAACCTTCCCTCCTCTCCACTCAGGGTCAGCCGCACCCTCGAATCACATCTGATGGCTCTTCTAGCTCCTGCCCAATTTCCTGTCACTTAGGTGTTTCCCCATCTATGCGCTATTAGCCCCATCTTGGTGTCTGCTTCTCCCAACCTGGTACCTGGGCTGTTCCGACAGGGTGAGAGCTGTCAGAAGGCTTCGGCAGGAGGGACATTGGGTTTGCACAGGACAATTCAAGAAATGGGCTTTCGTGAGCCAAATTCTAGAGCAGGGGCACAAGCAGGTCAACTTCTGAGTGTGAGTTGTGGGTATGCCTTTCATTCTCCCAGTTATCCACCAGATGACTGGACATACACATCCAAACCCACACCTCTCAAAGGTAAACATTCATTCTCAGAGACAGTACAGGACAAACCCCAAATGAGGAAAATAAATGTTTTCTTAAGTACCTCGTTCCTTTGCAAGGCAGGTACCTCCTGCACAACAGAGTCAAACGTCCCATTATCATGCAGACCAGGTAGTTATCTTAACCCCATCCCCCTGCCCCTTGCTCCCACCTTCAAACAGCCCCTTGGGACCTGCTAGGAAAGAGAAAGATGTTGTTGCTAAGCAACGAGGAGGGCAGGGCTGATGCGTTCCTCTTTCCACTTCCACAATCTTGGTTATAATGTGCAAGTGAAGACATTACACCTGATGGAACACAGCGCCTTCCATAAAACCAACGTAACTCATCTTGTCAGTCTCTCCGCTACCCACAGTCTTCGTGGAGAAACTGCTCCTGTCTCACCCATCTGCTGCGTCTCCCACCCCTGTTGTCTCACAGAGACCTCATCAGCCTGCAGCCTGTGCAGGGAGGCGAGTGCCTCTCCCCTCTTTCCTTAGGTAGTTCCTCTGGGCTGGCCCTGCTGGCATCTGCCAGCATTTATTCTTCAAAGCACCCCAAGCCTCCCACCTCTGCACCTGAGCTGCAGGACCAAGTCCATGAAGTGTTTTTCTTTAAAGAAATTTTGAACATTCCAGACATTCTTCTATTCGCGACTAATATTCTAACAGGAGCAATTTGGATAAACAATAGGCCTTTAGAGGTGTCTGTTGATTCAGGGACCACAGGGCATCCCATCCATACAAGGACAGTTCTGAGGAGCTAGAACCCTGAATAGATGCAGAAGCAGACGACAGGAACAGCAGGCAGGGAGTTGCAAAGCCAAACCAAGTTCTGGGGCCCAAGAGTGGGTGCAGGATGGACCATGGGGCGAGAGCAGCCAGCCACAGCAACCCTGCCAGGGGGAGAGTTCCTCCTGGTCTGGACAGAAGGGAAACAACGTAAGGTGAGCACCCAGTCTGTGCTACATGCTCTGCACACATCACCTCGATTCAGCCTAGCAACCTTTGGGATCAGCCTTATTTTAATCAACATCCAATAGAGAGGTAAGGACGCTCATCTCTGGGCACACCACGCCAGGCTCACCTGTGATGTGCAGGCTCCTCCCAACCATTCCCTCACTGACATGATTATCTGCGAGGTGGACACAGATGTCCCCCTGTGTGAGGGAGCAGAGGTTTGGTCATTGTCCTGCTTCTGCTCTGGTTAGTTAAAAAGCAGTTCTCACTGTGCACTTTCCCGTACCATATAGGTTCTTTACAAAGCACTGAACTCACCATTTTGGGAATCAGGAAATGAAATTTAAAAGAATTTTAAGTTGAAAATATGGTAGATGAAACAAATGTTTATTTTTGCTCCCTCCTGAACTCAACAAAAATGAGAGTAAAGACATTTTTTTAAAAGGTAAAAATCCACACAAAGAGAACAGAAAAGGAGACAATAGCAGTCAAGGGATTATTACAAAGTGTAGGAAGCTGAGAAACAAATGAACAGGGCAGAGCAGCTAGAGCTGAACCCAAGTGCCTGCCTAAGGAGAAGTCAGCAAGAAGCCAGCTGCAAGCTCTCATAGGCTCAGGCATGGGGCAGCCCAGGTACCTCTGAAGGGGGCTGATGTGTGGGATTGGAAAGAGAGAAATTAGCTGTAAGCCCTATAGGAAACAGATTCCCCAACCTAGGGTTTGAGGTTTACTCTAGAGAAAACTAGAGAGTGTGGATTGGGTTTCTTCAAAGGTAGCCAAGGGCAGGGGTGAAGCACTGTACTGGAAACAGAAGGGGACAGTGTGAAAATCTTCACACTGAATGGGAGACTCCTGATCCCTTTCCTCCACTCAGCACCCAGGTGCAAGACAGCAGCTGCGCAGGAGAAGGGTGGGGGTTCACTCAAGGAAAACTCAACAAGCTGAGAGGAAAGACCGCCCAGTCCTGACACCTGGGCATCCCCTAACTCAAAGGATCAGACCCAGCCCCTCCCTCACATCTTCCAATGAGCTTGCTAGTGCCTCTCTAGAGCTTCAGTGCCAACAGGCAGCCCAAGGTCATCAGGCACGAAAGGAAAGGCTCTAGCATGAAAGAGAACAATCAAGACAAAATGTAAAGGGAACCTGGAGTAACAAAGTAGGAAGAAGCAAAATGAATTTCGAAAACCCACACTTATCTCCAGGGAGAAAAGATTGTATTGCAGATGCGAAACAAGAACAGAAAGCTAGAAAAGAAGATTCTAAGAACAAGAAAGAGCCCTTGGAAATGAAAAATATTAGAACAGATAAAATAAGTAGAAAACAAAGCTGAGAAAACCTCTCAGCATTCTTTTCTAAGGATTAAGAATAGGAGAAAAAAGATAAGAAAAGTACAGGGTCAATGTAGGAGGGATTTAGCATCCACGTGCCAGGATATGGCAGCTCTGAGGATGAACCCAGCCAACCTGCAAGTACAGGGAGCAGGGCGGGCTGAGGCACCAGCCTGTGCCTGCTGGGGTCCGTCACAGTCTCCGCCCTAAGGCTTTGCTCCCATGGGCTGCTCCAGCCACTGACTGAGGCCTGCCACCAAGGCAGGTTGGCCCTGGAAGAGGTAGGACTCCTCTCAGCTCCAGGACAGTAGTCTAGGATGTGCCCCCTCCAACCTTCCTTCTGTGTCTCCTACACCAGGGGTCAGACTTGCCTCACAGCCTTCCCCAGAACCCCCACCCCTATTTTCTCTCAAGGGTATCTCCTTTAACAGAACCCTTACATGTTTGATCCTGTCCTGAAATCTGCTTCTTGGGGGACCCAGAGTACCACTTAAGAGTTTAGAAAGGAAGAACAGAAAAAATAGGGGGGAGAAATTACAAAATAAAGATATATTTTATTAAATCCTCAGAACTAAAGGCCGTGAGTTTCCAAATTGAAAGGGCCTATTTAAA